ACTTTTCTTCTTTTTTTTTTTTAATTTTTTTTTAATAATTTTTCTCTAGCATTCCTTTCTCTCTCTCTCCCTCTCTCTCTCATAAAGCAAGCTTGCATGTAAGTTTAAGTGTCATCTATGGATAGATCTAATCTAACAATTAACTTTATTAATAGATTGCTATATTATGTAAATAGTAAAGTTTCCTGATTAAATATGTAAATTATATATTTTTGAGTTATATATATATATTCCAAAATCAAATTAAATTTGTTAAATTTTAAAGTTTGCTTATTAAAATTTCCCATCAATAGTCAAGATAAAAACATGTATTATATAAAATTGTAAATTTATTCACTCACTAATTTCAAATTTATACCTTATTTTTCATTTTTTGACTTCCATTAAATTTGTTAAATTTTAAAGTTTGCTTATTAAAATTTCCCATCAATAGTCAAGATAAAAACATGTATTATATAAAATTGTAAATTTATTCACTCACTAATTTCAAATTTATACCTTATTTTTCATTTTTTGACTTCCATATATAAGTACTCTTAAATTTAAATAAGACTTAAATTATTTATATGTTTATATAAGTTTATGATTAATCTATATTTTTATTTTTCATTTAATTTTTTTGACAAAAACTCTATTACGATGTTCCAAAAAAATTCTAATTATGATGTGGCTCAAAATTTAAAAATTAGTGTAATATATGAGTTATTAGTATTACGTAAAAAGTCAAATAGGCTTTGAGCCCCATATTGATTAATTTTTAAATATGATATTATGATTTTTTTTAAAATTTTTATATGCATATGCATATATTATACACGTAATTTATTTCTCTTATATTAATTATTAAAATATTATTTTTAGAAGAAATTATATAAATATTTTTTTTAAGCATTTATACATCTTTTAATAATTAAAATTTATTTTTATTTATACGATATTTTGATGTGAAAATCTAATGAATATATATTATTTTAAATAAGTTATTTTTATATTTTTGATACTTTATTTATTTTTTTTTAAAGAAATCTTTGATGTTACTTGTTCTAAAAATTAACGACGCGAAACAAATTGAATTTGCAGAGCAACGGGAGGTGACCCGAACTATTTAGGCGGCAAAATCGACGGCAGCCTCAGGTATCGGT